CGATTGAATTGCTTCATTCCAACCATACTCCTCCACATCCATGAGGTTATTCTTTGTTGCCATTACCTTTTTATAAAATGGATCGCTTTTTAAATGGTACATCCATTGAAGTTCTTCATATAAAACCTCCCTCAGCTCTTTTCTGTATATTGGAATCAAGGCATTATATGCTTTGATTTTTGCAACCTCACCACTGTATCGTTCGGGTTCTAACATTCCTTTATTCCACACTGTGATACAACGTGCGCATTCAAAACTAACATGCAATGAGTGAGAAGCACGTGCTACATCACGTGACATCTTCCCTTTTTTGAAAGAAAAAATACTTTTCTGTAATAATTTCAACAGACAATAAGAATGTTCTTTGATATTGGTAATATCAAAGTTCAACGTGTTTCATAGTCACTGAGGTACTTTGGTGCTTTAACTTCTCTTCCACTGCGCGTGACTTGCTTCGAGGAGGCTGTTTCTTGCGGTTTGGGCATTGGTTGGGTAAGAGTAGCTGCTGCTTGTGCATCCTGAGTTGGTCTTCATGTCTTGTCAGATTCCTCAATGTGATAGTGACCATCTAAGATTTCTTGAGACTCGATATGTGAATGGGGTGTTGGCTTAGTCTTCCTTAGATGTCTTCGGTTTCTTCTGTAAACACGTCCGTTCTCTGTTCGGATGTTATATGATCGAACATGAACTTTGTCTTCTACTTCTCACTTGATCCATTGTTTTGTCCTATCATTAGGCTTTGGCTGTATTCTTACAGTATCTCCTTGCTGTAGGGGTTGTAACTCTTTCGCGTGGCGATTGTAGGCGTTTGACTGTATAACTTTGCACTGTAGCAATATGTCCCGTGCGCTGTGTGGTATTTCTGGTCTGAGTAGTTATGCTGCAGTAGGTACAAGCGTCCTTGTGCGTCGTCCAAATAGTCTCTGCACTGGAGAGCTTCCAACTCCCTCGGTCGGCGTGTTTCTCCAGTATAACAATGCTGTGTAGAAATCTGTACCAGCTGTTTTGCTCTTCTTCAGTAGTCTTTTTTGCTGTCTTGACTGCATTCTCGACACGAACATTGCTTTGTGCGTAATTAGGAGAACTTGTGATTGTCGTAAACTCGTACTCATCAGCGAACTCTTGAAATTCGTAGGAGTCGAATGGTGGACCGTTGTCACTGATGAACTCTTCTGGTATGCCATGCGTTGAAAAGTGTCGTTTCAGCCTTTTGATAATTGGTTTTGCTGACTTCCTTTCAAGCTTATCAACTTCAAAGTATCCTGAGTAGTAGTCTACCGTACAGAGATAATCTTTTTGATCTAGCGTGAAGATATCGCAGCCAATCTTMTGCCAGGGTCTCTGTGGTACGTCGTGTACGATAAGCGATTCTTTCTGTTGCTGTGATGCGAACATGATGCACATTTCACAATGTTCAATGTAGTCCTTGAGCTCCTGATTCATTGAGGGCCAATATACTACTTCTCTTGTCCTTCTAAGACATCCTTGAATGCCTATGTGTGAGCGGTGAAGCTTCTCTTTGATGTTCTGTCTTAGGGAGATTGGTACTACACATCTTGTTCCCCTGAAAATKATTCCGCCCTGGACTGCTAGTTCGTCTCGAAAGTTAAAGTAGGGCTTTACTCTTTCGGGGACAGAAGCTCTGTTATCGTGCCATCTTTGCAGGATAGTGTTCTTTAATTATAGCAGTAATGTCGAATCTTTTGCTCTTTCACTTTTGATCTCTTTCARTTGAGGTTCTGATATGGCAAGGTAGTCAACAGCATGGATACTCTCTACTTTTTTGTCTGTTTCTGACAGCGTATCTGTGCTTGTATCCAAGTATGCTCTCGATAGAGTGTCTGCCAGGTACATTTGATCTCCTGGTCTGAACTTGATATCAACATCGTAGTTTTGCAGGCGGAGCAATAGCCTTTGAAATCGCTTAGGTGCTGAAGATAAGGGTTTCTTASATATTGACACTAAAGAATTGTGGTCTGTGTAGAGTGTGACCTTGCGTCCGTACACATACTGGTGGTTGTGCTCTAGGCCGAATACTTGAGCCAAGAGTTCCTTTTCTATTTGCGAGTAATTTTGTTCTGCCGGTGTAACGGCGCGGCTTGCATAGGTTATAGGGTGATCATCTTGTGTTAAGACAAATCCTATTCCCTTCTGTGATGCRTCTCCACTTCCCTCTGTCGTTTTGGATGAATCAAAGTACTTAAGGATGGGTGCTGATGAAATCGTCTTCTTGATATCATTGAATGATTGTTCGTGGTCTTTGGTCCAGACAAACTGCTCATCCTTATGCGTGAGACGTCCTAGTGGCTCACTCATCTGATCTTTAAGGAACTTTGAAAGKTATTTAGTTATACCTAGTAGGCGTTGTACTGCTGCAACATCCTCTGGTCGTTTCATGTTCAATATGGCGTTGGTTTTATTTTGTTCGGGCTTCAACCCTTCCTTTGTCAGACGGTGTCCGATGAATGTGACTTCATCACACTTGAATTCGAACTTAGCTTTATTGAGCTTAATGTTCTTCTTGCGACATCTCTCAAGAAGGYTTTTTTAAATTCTTGTCGTGGTCCCTATTGGCACTTTCGTCATCTGTTCCTTGGCCAGTGATTAGAATGTCATCAGCAATCTTGAAAACGCCGTCAAGGCCTTCTAGATTCTGATCCAGCTTCATTTGGAAGATTTCTGGGGCTGGTGAAATTCCAAAAGGGAGTCTGTGGTAGCGATAACGGCCCCATGGAGTTTGAAGTAATGTTTAAAGGCCGACAATGAGCCTCGGACTGGAACTAATTGCGCGGACTTTGAAATCCCGTCAAGTCCGAATTGGAGGCCTTTGAACGACTTCAAAAACTCATTAATTATTCGGGAGGGAAAAAAAGCGAAGGAAATACATATAACAGAAATATATTGATTTATTGCATCTCCACTAAGGTTTTCAGTTTTCATAATTTTGAATGCATGAAGCACCGTTTGTTGTTCTTCAATTCCCGGACGGCTTTCTGAAACAAAAGCTATTCAAATTGTCTTTGTCTGCTATTCATGGCATTCCTAATGAGTCTAATCCATAAGATTTATAAGTATGTTATCTTCCGAGGAATCGCATCAGAAACTCGGTGGCGTAATGGTATAAGACGGCGCATATAGACTGGACGGTAGGGGATCGAGTCGTGAGGGAGTCATGTATCAAAGACCTTTTTTCACTAAATTAATGTTAAACTGATTATTTCTAATAATTTGATTATCATTAGCTAGTAGTAGTTGGAAACATGGTAGAAGTAACTGGAAATAAGGTAGAA